GACCGTCACGCGGTTAATCGACTGTTGTCGATAAAGAAAAAAAAAAAACGAGAATCGTATTGCCTGTAAATTGTGTGTTTGCGTTTTGTTTTCTTTTTTTGTTACATCGAGCAATAACGCAAACACACGCGTCCCCGAGGGGGAATAAAAAAAGTAATATAACTCGAGCATATAAGAGTAACAGCTCGAGAACAAGTTGTGTCAGAAGCGGATGTTTACGCGGCGAAATGATGAATGTTGGATAATGTGATCGTCGGTTTATTAATATTCATCTCTCGGCTCGCTTGCGTCGCGCGCTATCATCGTCGCACAGGAAGCGTCCATAAAACAGTCAATAAAATTTAATGCGGTCGCGGCACCACACACGTTTCGCGCCGAAAATTATTGCACGTGCGAGTCAAACGATTCGACGCCAATTTAACAACACGCGTCACTTTTCTCCCGAGATTATGCGTTTCATAATCTCGCGCTGAATTTCCATCTTTTTTCCCGCTGAAAGAGGATGGAGGTAAATTTTTTTCCGGAAGCGCGTTTTGCTCTCTCTCTCTCTCTTTCTCTCTCTTTCTCTCTCAATCTTCGGCTGTCACATCGGCTAAACTGACACCGAGTAATTTGTTATTTCCGCCGACGTGCGCGCGTCGGGGCCTCTCTCGGCAATGAACGTGCCAGGTCCTCGTTTAATAATAGATCAATTGATTCGACAGGTTCTCCTTCTCTCTCTCTTAGCGAGAGACTTTTGGGCGTTATTAAAAACGTGCTTTTACCCACTTTACTCTCTACGTGCAACCCCGCTCGCGCTGTTGATCGACTTTCGCGATAAATTACGCACCTCCCCGGGGAGGATGTTAGCAGAAGAAAATCCCTCGCAAAATATTGCTTCCGCATTTTTGCGTCGCGAAAGCAACGGGACAAGTAGATGCTTCGACCCTGAGTTTTACGAGGGAACGAAATTGTAACGTCGCAAAAAGGTTTAATGTACAAAGAAACAACCCGCGACGAAACTCAAGGACTCTGCGCGCGTTTCTTCGATACACGAAAAATAATGAAAATTAATCTCTAAGACCGCTGGCATTTTTCCATTGAAATAGTGTATTTTTTTTTTTTTTTTTCATAGATTCGTGTATATTAATAACGTACACGTTATGTGGAATCTCGAGGTTTGTATGAAACTCTTTTGGGGCGGGCTAAAAAGGTTTTAAATACCGAAAGTGAAAATAAATACACAGTTTTCGGTTGCGTGACAAAATTCGTGCGAAACGTGTTCGCGTCGATTCTTCTCCTCCCTTTTATAATCGATAACGGTAATCACAAGCCAGATTCCCTCGAGGGTGCAGCGCTTAAAATCGTCGCGATTATAATCAACTCGACTCGATTTCGATATCGCATCCCGTTGCGTTCGCTCCGCTCGCCCGCGAGCATCGGCACGCGGTGAAATCGACCGCGTTAACGATTGTTCGAAGAAAGCTTGCGTTAATAACCGTTCGCGCGATGATTTTTTCAATTGTAAACTGATTGTAGGAATATATAATAATAATAATAACGTTTCGCTCGCGCGGGGCGAGCCGGAGCGTGACGTTTCGCCGTCACGTACACGATGTTCCGCTATCACTTGCGATAGCGTTTTTCCGCGCAACAGTTATAACGGGCGACACGCGTAACGCGTTCCGCTCGCGCGTTCTCCGCTCGTCTCTCTCTCTCTCTCTCCCTCTCTCTTCTCCCTCTCCAACGGAACATCGTTTAATATTCCGTCCAAGGCGAAAGCCGGCGCCAAAGTGAAAAGCCTTCTTTCTCTCTCTCTCTCTCTCTCTCTCTCTCTCTCTCTCTCTCGCTTCGTGTGTACACAATGTGCGCGCGTGTGTACAAAGTTAACGACCTATTACAAGGCCGACCACATCGGTGCAAGACAAATCATGCTTGTACATTCGCGCGCACACTCGTGTCACAACCGCTTTCAGTGCTCTCGACGCAAAATCGTAAATTCGCACTTCGGAGACGATAACATTTATCGGTTTTGCGTCAATGTTATCGCTTTATTTTTTTTCTTTTTTTTAATAGACGTTTTCTAAGAAAACGTCGCTTTGAGAAATTAGGGCAACGCGCGCGCGCGTTGGAGTTTGCGAGAGATGCGCGCGACACTTTTCCGAAAGTGTTTTTCTCGCGTTTATTAACCGCGTCGTTGTTGATATGGCGCAATTAATAAAAGTCTCATCTCGACCGGACAATCGGATACGCGAGGATGATAACGCGAGGCGAAACTTTGCGAAACGAACGGCCGCGAGCTCGTTATCGCGATTCGTTGAGAAATTGCGAGGATTTTTTTTTAATGAGAAGCGAAATTTTTATCTTCTCAATTCTACGTGTTGCGCACGTGTACAACGCGTACCTGCCGAACGAATTCGCCAACTCGGTTGTGTGTTTGTTTGGGTAATAATTTTTCATTTCCGTGCGCGCGCGCGCGCGCAGCGAAGGTCGTTTCATCGGAAATCCGCGAGATCGATGATCGTGTGTGGTTTTCGTTATACGCATTGCGCGCGCGCGTCATTTTTTTTGCACGCACGCGGAAAAGATAGCGTGTATAGAGAAAACGATTAGGCGAAGGTTGTTGTGCGCGCACAACCATTCGGTCGCGAATATACCGAAATGACGTCGAGAAACAAAGAATTTCGATAACTGCGACGAAATTGGCGCTCGCCACGCGAGAAGCCGATTGCCGCCACTTCGGAAGTGCGGACACGTGCGGCAAATTGCCGCGCGCGCGCGCGCGCGCATGACGAACGATGTTTCACCGCGTCCTTCTGCTCCTTCGCATTCGAAACGATTCCTAAATCCATTTTTTTTTCTTGTTTTGCGTCAACGCCGCAAGATCGATCGCGAGAATGTCTCTCTCGCGGCGACGAAAGATCGATAAGTAAAATTTCACACGAAATATATGTTACGTTGTTGAGATATTTGATGAATTTTTAATGAATCGGCCAAATCGTGTGCTGCTCGTACGCGCTGCGAAACCTCGCAGTAATAAACAGGACCTATAAATATTAACGTCTGACATTATACATTACGCGATGAAACCTGTGTGACTCAGAAAGAAGATTCGCCGCACGCTCATTTTCTAATGATGATTTATTTCGCGGCTGTTTTTTTTTGCGCGACTCGAAGATTTGCGCTGGTAAATTCAATTTTAAACGCACAAGCGCGCGTTACCTATAACGCGCAATATATATTTTGTGAATTTTTTAACGTTACGCAACTTACCTAATGTCGCGCACGGAGTCATCCGTCATTTGTTTTTTTTTTTTTTTTTTTACAACACTTTTTTCCTCCCGTTATCTTAAACGTGTCTCGTAATAAGCTCGCGCGTTAGCGAAGTAACTTGTTTACTCTAGCGATTGATTGAGGCCGGCAATCGCGCGTCGTTTTTTGCGTAACGTAACACCGCGCGGTCATTTAAAGCGCGCTCGGTGTGTGCAGTTGTCACTTCATATTTAAAAAAAAAAAAAAGAAAGAAAAAAAAAGAGCGCAAGTTCTAAATATACTTCTGTTCGCGCTCGCAGTTTCGTTGCGAATTACCTGGGGAAACCTAGCTTTCGAGAAAATAAACAAGGTGTTGAAATCAGCAGCAGCCTTCCATAAAAAAAAAAAAAAAAAAAAAAAAAATCGTTACCTCGTCATCGAAAATCTGTGCCACCTGGGAAATAAAAAGTAAGGAAAAAAAAACAAGTGTTCAAAGAACCGTTCAATTAATAAAAACTCTTATCGAAAAGAGCCCCTCGAGGACTGTAAAAAAAAAACTTTCAACAGTCAAAGTAGGCGGCGAAGAGATGACGTGTGCTAGTTTCAGCACCCTCTTGTTTTTTTTTTTATTTTTTTGTTTTACTTGGTAATGGTTCCTTAGATGAGTTCAACGGAACAACTATTGCAAAACTACTCTGCAAGTGGAAACTAGAATCTAAGAAGTCTGTGGAAGTTTAGAGTTCTAGAGTTTGCAATTGGCAAGCGGAATTATGTTTAGAACCGTGAGAACTTGCATTAGAAGAAGAAGAAGAAGAAAAAAAAAAGAGAAACACGAGATGCTTACGTGGGAATTGTAATTTATGCCGATATCTATCTCAAGCGCCCGTATCTATCGTCGTGTGACGTACACAAAGACATGTGATATATTAATCAATGGCGGTCAAAGACGAGCCGCCGTTGTCGTTCGGATGATGCAACGCAAACACCTGATTGCGCGGGATCGCGCTTTTTGTTTTTATGACCCGGAAACCCTCCCTGTGCGTATTACGTAATTAATATCGCGATTAGGCGTCTTCTTCGCGCGCGCGCGCGCTTGAAGAAGAAGAGCGAAACCTATTGCCAGAGCGAAATATTGTAAATTGGTTAAGTAGATAAAGGCGCTACGTGTGGGTGAAGATGCGACGACGAGAACGTACTTTCTAATATGTAAAAAAAAAAAAAAAAACATTTATCGCCTTGAGGCGAAGATATACAAATGCCGGCCGTAGAGATTAATCAACCCAATCGCGATGGTTTACGACCGATCATTAGACGAATGCTAACGAGGGAACAAAGATATTTCCACACTTTCGTCACCTTTTGAAAGAAAAAAAAACTTGACGTAAAAAAGAGACTCGCGCGAATCACGTGTATTTTATTATCTTTGGGAGAAGCGCGTGAAAATATTCTAATGTGGAAGGGAATTAACATACACCGGAGATATAATTAATTCTACAAAATAAGGTCAAAAAAAAAATAAATAAATAAGATCCTCGAATAAAACTTGACCGCCTTTCCCGCACCTTTTGCACTTTCGGACGGAGAAAATCCCTCTTTCGAATTTTGTTAGATAATTTAGATAAGAAATCGAATTGATTTGTTGTTTGCGCGTGAACTTCTTCACGCGCATCATCATTGTTGTTGTATTTGTAACAGAAGTTATTTCACGAGCGTTAATTTTTTTTTCTTTTTTTTTTACTTACGAAAATTTGTATTTTGTTGTTTTACAGACTCATATGCTGTTGATGGATGCTTTCCTACAAAACAACAGGTTGGATCATGTTTCGAGAGTGATGGCCTCGCATCCGAAGTATCTGGAGCACTTCCTCCGGACTCAGCAGTTCATCCTCAGGGGTGACGGACCGCTTCCTTACGATTATAGACATCTCATTGCCATTATGGTGAGCCCTCATTCTCTCGTAACTTTATTTGCGTTTGTGTTTCAAACACGCTGTCAACATAAATTTTAGCATTTTCGTCGAAAAAAAAAAAAAATTTTGTCGGCTCGGCGAGAAAAATATTTGAATCTGTTTGTTCCATCGACGTTTTGTTTGTCAGCCGGAAATACCTCATTAAGATTAAAACAATTTTTCTTGCCGCGGCCACAAATTAACTTGACTTCTTGCTATTCCAGCAGGATCTTTTTTTTTCTACCGTTGTTTTGGACGAATAAATTGACGAAAGTAAGTTTTTTACAGTTTTTTTTTCTACTTTTCTATGGGACGGAGGAGGGACTTGTGTGTATTATTTCTAGATCTCTTTCGCGAAACTTTATATATTTCTCATGTACAACTTGCGCGCCTCGAAACAATAAGGCGCGCAAAGTTCTCTCTTGCTGTTATTTTTTTTTTCTCTCGGAAAGTTTTTCTTTTCAGAAAAATGTTTATTTCGCAAAGTGCTCGACACGAACGGCACGAACGCGATTGTCATACGATGTTGTTGCGCTCGCGATATATAGTAAGCTTTCTTTTTGCGATATAATAGTGCGTCTTTGTCTTTCTTCCCGAAGCTCCTCCCCTTGATTAAAATCCTCGATGAGCAACGACGGGCGGGGGTCAAAGGCGGGTTTAAAGGCTATCGCAAACTGAGTAAATGCAGCGCGCGTGCGTGTGTTTCGTAACGGTCACACACATTTTACTTTGAAAGCCGAGTCCGCCGAGGATGTTAAAAATCAAAAAAAAAAAAAAAAAAAGAAAAGAAAATACTATTGGCCGTTTTCCTTTTACAATCTTTGCCATTCGACTGATGTTAGTGACACACACCAACGCTCACACGTTGCGCTTGGCTATTCTCTTGCTTGCCATCGACACTTGCGTGTCGCTCGCGCTTACGTGTATCAAATTACATAATATATCATCTTCTTGTGTGTTTTGTTAAACAACGCGCGCGAGAATAATCTGAGAAAAAAAATAATTAATACGAGAATTATGTGAAAAAAAAAGAAAAACGAATGACGTATGATCATCTTATAATAATATACAATAAAGCGCTCGGTGACCGAGATAAAAATAATTGTATTTTTCGAATAGTTTGTACTTTGCATCGGTGACTTGGTGTTAATGAGGTATTATTCAAGTACTTAATTCCATTGCGTAAGCGTTTCGTGTAATATAAATAATACATAGGCGAATGTCTAATCGATCAGTCGAAGGTCTGCGCGAAAAACAAGATCGGACAAGCCTACCGTTTTTCACAACAAGTGACTCATATATATATATATATATCATGTTTTTTTTTCTCTTGTAACGTTTGGATTCGTGCGAGAAATACAGGCTTGCTTGTTCAAACATCGAGAACGCTCTGCGAGAGATAAAAAGATAAAATGTATCATTTGCTGTCGTTGTTCTCAAGATCCGCGTTCAAAATACGCGCGACGAAATCTGATTGTCGCGCGAACAAAAAGTCAAAACACACGCGTCTCTTCGAGAAAAATCGAGAAAAGTGTATTTCTTCTGTTTCCAGATGTTTCGTGTTTCGAAAATTTATCTAATTTAAGATAAATATTTGACGAGCGTCACTGATACGATCTCTCCGAAAGTATGCAGGTGCATTTTCTACAACATTTTCTAAAAGCATACATTATCTTCTGGAAGTGTATTTCCACTTGTGTCTTTCATGTATATGTATATATATATATATTTCAGAAAGCAAACTGGCACTTCTGTTTCTCGCGCTTTTGAATTAAAAGCGAGTTTATTAGATTTTCCCGTCCTTTTGATCTTATTTTCCCGTTCCTTGCGAAATTAAGACGGCTTGTCACAGAGAACTAGTTTCTCGATTAAGATCTTATTACCGTGAGCTCTCTCTCTCTCTCTCTCTCTCTCTTTCGGATTAACCAGTACGTAATTGACGATTAAAGTGCATTTCCATGGATGGAATGTAAAAATTTATCAGCGAGAAAGAGAGAGAGAGAGAGAACACGTCGGAGATCATTGTTGAACACGCAGGCGCGCGCGCGCGCAAGATGAGATATGTAAATTCTACAAACTGGTTTTATTTTCAATTGCCGAGTCACAACCGCGAACCGTGTTCGACTAGCGATCGCAATTGACTTTTGTTTGTTGCAAAATCTACAGACTCTACGTTTGTAAAAAAAAAAAAAAAA